GCTTAAGGCCAACTGAATGATAAACAGAAGTCCTAGCCAGCTCTGTGCATAACAATGCAAGGAAATAGAGTCAGGCTCAGTCAAAATGGAGATAGTCACTCTTCTTTCAAGGAGAGCTGCTCAGGTGGTCCTCCACAGTTCTTAACTTCTTTTTGTACCTAAAATTCATTCTTCAATTTTAGAGAATACGAACTTGTCCCAGGTACCTTTCAGATTGGGAGTTTCATTTCCCCTATACCAGTGTCACATGGCTTCATGTCCCCATTTTTGTATTCTACCTTCCTCTACCAAGCAAGCCCACCCTATGTTCTGCCTGTAAATAATTTCTGTTCCTCAACACAGACTCAGCTCAGCATTTGCACTCTTTCCAGATGCTTCTGATTTTTCACAAATGTTTCTGTCACATGGGTCCTTTCACTGTTTTGAAATCATGTTGCTCATCTAACCAAAGACACTACACTTTCTGTGGACCTGGAGGGTGGCACCAACTGGCTGCAGACCTGTGGTTAAGAGCACACCCTTCAGAGTTGTACAAACCTAGGTTTGAGCATCAGTTTTGCTTAATTTTATCAGTAGCACCTTAGCAAAGTCCCTAAACTTTTTTCTTTGTCCCTAAAGTTTTTAAGCCTAATTTTCCTCATCTGTAAAGACTTAACACTTATGTTAGGTTTATATTTGGATGAATGTCATATAAGAAATGCAGACTGTCCTTTAGTGTGTTTTTATGTATCCACTGATCCTAAAGGAACATAGTTTTGCATTTAACATCTCTGAAATGAAATAGTAAAGTCTTTGTTGGACCGGTGGCAGCTGTACAGAGTTTTTAGTAGTTAAATCTGTAAGAAAAGATGTGTCAGTGCTTGCATAACAGATAAAACTGTCTCAGAAGAAAACTTAGGAAGCAATATTGAAGCCATCTTCAGCCTCTAGTAATGTGATCATTAATTGTGACCTGTTAAGTTTATGTAAGTAAGAACTACCAATCAGATTAGTGAAGTTCTGTGTGTCTGTGCGTGATTGGCATGTTGGCTGCCAACTGACACCATATCCCGGATATGAATGATGCCAACTGGTAGTATTGTAGCCTTCATGGAACAAAAAGGGAGAGAAGGAAGTCTTCTCTTTTATTGTAGGGGAATTCTTGGCTTACCATTGCCTTTGGACATTTGTCTCTGTTTTTTTCAGGCTTCTAGTTCAGGTACTTCAGTCTCTCAAATGGAAACTCGTTGGCTTTCTGACATAGTTTGGCCTTGGATCCTGCAGTGAACTTATATATAGGCCTTTGACTTCAGTGGGACCCCCTAGGCCTTCAGTGTGCGCATGGGCATTTTGCATTCTCACACTTCTGATCTGGCAGATGGTCACTGGGGTTCTTCTGCTTCTGATCCTGTAAGCCATTGTCTGTCTGCCCGTCCATCTGTCCATCTGTCCATCCGACTATCTATCTATCTATCTATCTATCTATCTATCTATCTATCTATCCATCTATCATATATTTGTATCTGTTGCTTTAGTGAACTCTAAGTAATAAAAGTAAGCTATAGCTATGAGACTCTAATTTTGTTGTCTTAAGTACTATATCATTGGTTCTATTGGTGGCATGGTATGTGGAAAAACATGCATATTGATCATTCTCTTTTGAAATGTGATTCAGAATAGTAGTATAGAATATATAAAGAAGTCTTCAAAATATTTTAAGCAACTTATTTCAAATATTTTTTGCTTTAATATCTGTAAAAATACTATCTAATAAAAATTCTGGTGTAAATAAATGTGAGAGATGTTTTAATAAATGTAATTCAACTAAAATAACAAGGAAATGTGTTATAGTTTAATTCATAACTTTTTCCTTCTTAGTGATATAAAATAATGTTACATCTTTGAATTACACTTCAGAGTTGAATGAAACAAACAGAAGTTCCATCACTTAAGTTTTTTTTTTTTGTATTAAGTGATAGAAAATTCATCCAATGATGGGGTAAATAGTAAGATGTTTTCTGCATCTATTGAGATGATCATGTGGTTTTTGGTTGTGGTTCTATTGATAGAATATATTACAAAGCCCTACAGAAAATTGGAGTAGATGTCCTGTACATCAATCTGATAAAAGCCATCTATAACAAAATAATAGCCAACATAATTCTAAATGGAGAAAAACTGAAAGCTTTGACTCTCTAATCAGGTATAAGACAAGGATGTCCTCCATCACCATTCACATTCAACATATTATATAATATAATATTAGGTAGAGCCATTAGATAAGAGAGAGAGAAATAAAAGGAATAAGAATAGGTAAAGAAGAAGTTAAATTATCATTATTTGTAGATGACATAATAATCTACTTAAAAGACTCACAAAACTTCACCAAGAAGCTCTGAGAATTAATAAACAAACAAATTTGGAAGCATAGTAGGATATAAACTCAAAATATTTTGAGTAACTTTTTTCAAATATTTTTTGCTTTAATATCTGTAAAACCAATAGCATTCCTCTACAGATAGCAGACTCACTGAGAGAGAAATTAGATAAACAATACCCTTCACAATAGCATCCAAAAAAATGAAATGCTTAGGAATTAATCTAACAAAGGAAGTAAAAGAGCTATACAATGAAAATTACAACCCTCTAAAAAAAAGAGAGAGAGAGAGATCAAAGAGGATTTCAGAAAATAGAGATATTCCTTCTCCTGGATAGGGAAGAAACAACATTGTGAAAATGCCACACTTCCAAAATTGTTATACAGATTTAACACAATTTCCTACCAAAATCACATCAATGAACATCAAATATCTAGAGAAAACATTCTTTACCGGAGATTGAACACAGACTCTTGTGCTTGTCAGGGAAGTGTTTATTTATTCTACTGAGCCATCTCCCTGGCCCCTAGAAAACATTCTTAAAATTTATTTGGACCCAGAAAAGACCTAGAATAGCAAAGGCTATCTTGAGCAACAAAGGCAAGGAAGGAGGCATTGCAATCCCTGACTCAAAATTATATTACAAAGCTACTGGGATAAAATCAACATGGTACTGGCAAAAAACCTGACTTGTGGGACAATGTAACAGATTAGAAGATGCAGATACCACTACACACTCAGTCATTTTATCTTTGACCAAGGGGCCAAGCATGTTCACTGGAGGAAAGGGAGCCTCTTTAACAAATGTTTCTGGAAAAACTGTCTCTCCACATGCTGAAAATTAAAACTATTCCTGGATCTATTGCCATGCACTAAACTAAAGTCAAAATGGATTAAGATCTATACATTAAAGATTTAAATCTCTTGGAAGAGAAAGTAGGTGGAAATCTTGAAGACACTGGAGTAGGCAGACAGTTCACGAACAAAAACCAAACTACATGGGAAATACTGCAAAGAATCAAGAACTGGGATCTCATCTTAATTGAGAAGTTTCTGCATGTCAAAAGAAATAACCAGGGGCTGGGGATAAAGCTCAGCAGCATAAGTGCCTGCCTGGCAAGAGCAAGGGCCTGAGTTCAAACACTGGTACCACAAAAATAATAAATAAATAAATAAATAAATAAATAATAAAATCTTTTAAAAAAGAAATAGCCAAAAGAGTAAAAAGACAATCCTCAAATTGAGAAAAATTGTAATCAACAATCACTCAGACAAAGGACTTCTATCTAAATTATATAAAGAACTAAACAAAATTTGGCCCCCAAGATTGAAAGGCCCAATACAAAAATGGGCACATGAGATGAGCATACACTTTTCAGAGTAAGAAACACAAGTGCAAATAAATATGTGAAAAAGTGCTCCACAGCACTCACCATTCAAGAAGTGCAAATTAAAACAATGTTGCAGTACCATCATACCCCAGAAAGAATGGTTATCATAAATAAATTAACTAGAAATGCTGGAAAGGCTGTGGGGAAAAGGAACCCTTCTCCACTGCTGGTAAGAATGTAGACTGGTACAACTGCTGTGGAAATCAGTGGGAGATGCTTCAAAAAACTAGGAATGGAAATCCCATTCAACTCAGCTATACCTCTTCTGGGTATTTTTTTCAAAAGAACTGAAAACATCATACCATAGTGATATATGTGCACCCATGTTTATAGCAACATAATTTGTTATACTAAATCTTGGAAACAACCAAAATGCCCATCACTTCAGGAGTGGAATAAAAAGGTGTGGTATTTTTATACAATTGAGTACTACTTAGCTATAGAGAAAGGCAAACTTGAAGCCTTTGTAGGTAATTTGATGTAACTAAACTCTATACTGAAGTGAAATAAATCAGATCCACATGTGTAAATTTTGTATTGTCTTCTTAGTGTAAGAATCTCAAAGAATAAATGAAACCTAAAAGTTATAATATAATAAAACAGAAAGAAACTGAACTTAAGGCTTAAATAATGAAGATGAGAGGAAGTAGAAAAAATATAAAAAAAGGATGGTGGGAAAAACATGCAAATATTTGTACAAGATGGTTTAGATGATTGTACTCATAATTTTCATCAGTTTTTTGAAAATAGCAGTTAATTTTTGGAATTTTCACCTTGACTAACTCTGCATGCTGATATCTGTGATCTGAGCAACTACATCGAGCATGGCAATGTATATTGGGTATACATATATATGGGGTAATACAAACCCCATAGTTGAATACCTCTCATTTTGGTCTTTTATGTGTACCATTTCTAATGTTTTATCAACTATTATGTTCTCTTTAAAATAAATTTAAACAAAAAAGACAACAAAATTAAGATTTCTTGAAAGCAAGCGCCAATATTCAAATATTTCCCCAGTCTTGTATGTCTGTTAATCTGAGTGACAGATTTGATGATAAAAATAGATAATATAACAACCATTGTTAATTAGCTATTCCTGTTTTGAAAATCTGTAACATATGCATTATTGTATATTACCCTGTTTCTGTATTCTTTCTTTCTTTCTTTCTTTCTTTCTTTCTTTCTTTCTTTCTTTCTTTCTTTCTTTCTTTCTTTCTTCTTTCTTTCTTTCTTTTTTTTCTCTTTCCACTGTGCTGCCCCCTTCAGTGCTCTCAGCCCACAGCAGAGGCCAGGCAATGGTGTGCGGTGCACTTTGCTCTTGTGTGGCACACTGTAGAAGGCCCACGTGGATGGGCCTACCATAAATCCATCACTGTGCTCTCTATTTGTTTTTGCTTCTGTGTTTACTCTTCAAAAAAATTTTTTTTTAAAAAAGTAAGGTGTTTGTTGTTTTCTCTCCAAGAGGTCCTGCAGCAGAATGCTCTCAGGGCTGGCTGAGAAACAGAGGGATGCCATCGCTGATCTTAACCTTTCTGTTCCATCATCTTTGTTGTGCTGGCTTTTTATTTTCATGCTTGCAAAATGTCTGGCCTGATAGGAGGCATCATATGTACAATAGAGAAGGAAAAGACAAGGATAAGCTCAAGAAATTTCTTCTTGCAGGAAACAAATATATTTAGTACCCTGACTGAGGTGCAGATTTGCTTGTCTCTTTGGAGAAAGTTGATTGATATGGGCAGCCATAGTTGGAAGAAGGTTAGGAATGCATCTGTAGCTTCTCATCTAAGAAAAGTACTCTTTTTGGTGTTGTTTTTTTCAGACAAGGGTTTGCTTTGCAGTTTAGGCTGGCCTTGAATTCACTTTGCAGCCCAGGCTGGCCTTGAACACACAGAGATCCTCTTGTTTCAGGCTTCCAAGTGCTGGAATAATAAAAGTAAATTTTAAAGCTTGCATATGATTGCACAATTTGAACAATCATACCTGGATGAGCCTGGGGAGGGCAGGTGGATGAGTCCTCCAGCTGAGGTGAATGATAAAGGATACACTGTGCTTGAGGAAGAAGGGGACTGGGTGAAAACTAGCAGGCAAGAGGGAAGGCAGGTAGAAATCAGAAGTTCATCAGCAACGTCTATCACAGGGTCACTCACAAAACATGCACCTCACCAGTCAATATGCTGCTATTTCAACAAAGATTCTATTGAAAATTGGGTGGTGATAACTCTGTGGGATTTCTGATTTTAAAATGATGCTGTCAGCTTTGTCAGGTAGGCTTCTAGTTTTTTTTAGCTGGGTCATTGGCAGTCACTTGCAATTTCTACAAATGTAGACTTGAATAACTACTCAATATCTAAAGCTCAGATAGTGTCTTCACTCCAATCCTACCCAAACTTTGGTATAAATTGGTTGTTCACTCTATGTTTTATTTCTTCCTTTTCAAATCTCAGAGAGAGCCCTTACCAAAATCACTAAGAACAGAAGACAGCCTTTTTCATATCACATAACTATTGCTAATATTTTCTTCCAGTTTGCCATTATTATGTATTTGAAAAGTAAAAGCTACCTTGAAATGTTTATTTGATGAAAGAAAAATATTACATTTGATTACATAAATATATATCTTTATATTATATAGTGTATAAATCATATTAAAGTCAAATAAACAAGAACCATTTTTGAACATAAGCTACAGATTAATGGATGGCCAATGGCTTATTTTAATTATGAATATAAAAGATGTAAAAGATGCTATGTGTGATTTGAAACATAGTATAGCATATTTATCAACATATTTATATATTCATATTCTTTTTTAATATGAGGTTAGCACTAACTCTTTGAATGGTTTTTTTTAAATTTTATTGATAAACAGATAACAATGAGACAGTTTCAAATCAAATCGGAAGTACAGTTTCAACAAATAACACACTGCATATATTCTTCTTAGTGGTTAATTGCTGTTTGAATGGTTTTTTAAAATAACATTTTGTTATTGTTTTTGTTAAAACAGGACATGACTAGAGGCATACATGGGGTTTGATATGATTTCTTTTGTGGAAAGATTATCTTTGATACATTAAGATACATATTAAACAATTGGTATACTTAAGCTTTTCCCAAGTTTGTTGTATTTTTCAATCTTCATAATCAGTGAAACTGAGTAAACCTCTTTGTTGGGGCAGCAGTATTTGATTAGGGCACCACAAATGCTCCTCTACACTATTTAGCTTTGTTTTCTTCATGGACTGCTGAGATGTGCCCTTTCTCAACTCACTGTATGGATTTTATAGTCTTTTTTATTTAATTAATTTTAATGAGAAAGAAATAGCGATGAGACAGTTTCAAAACAGGTTAGTAGGACAGTTACAATAATTAATACTGATTTTATAGTCTTGATCATGTAATTTCATATCTGCGAAGCACCACAAAAAAACACTCAAAATTAAAAAAATAAAATAAAATAAAAAAGTAAAAAAGAACAATAATCGTTTGATAATAACAATAAGCTTGTCTTCTGGATGGTTAGCAACCTAAGTTTGCAGACCAAAATTAGAGAAAAAGGA